TGCCATGAGGACACAAATCTCTGCCTGTTTCTTACCAGCCTCTGCCCCTGTTCACCTGCCCTGCAGAGCCCTTGTCCCGGCTCACCTGTCTCTTGTCCCACTCCATGTCCCTGCACATCCCCTGTCCCCACTCACCTGTCCCTGCACAGCCACTGTCCTGGCTCACTTGTCCCCTGTTCCCGCTCACCTGTCCCCTGTCCCGCTCAGTGTCCCTGCACAGACCCTGTCCTGCCTCATTTGTCCCTTGCCTCACTCACCTGTTCCCGCACATCCCCTGTCCCTGCACAGCCCCTCTCCTGCCTCACCTGTCCCCTGTCCCCTCTCCGTCCCTTCCTCTCCCCCAGACCCGTCGCGGCGCCGCGGGACCCGAGGGGCGTGGCCAGGGGCACGGAGGAGGCGGGGCCAACGCCTGCTCGCATTCCCATTGGCGGATCCTCCTGCCCGTCTAGGCGAGGGGCGTTGCTGATTGGGCCGGCCCGTCCTCCCCCTTGTCCCGGGCGGGCGAGCGGCGCTGTGGGCGCGTCGGGTGCTGTGACAGCGACAGCGACAGCGCGGGGCGAGCGGAGCCGCAGGTAAGGGCAGTGCCGCCGCCGCGGGGGCTCCCTCCTTCTCCGGCGGGGGCCGCGGCGCTGCCCCCCGACCTGCGTTATGCAACCGCGCCGCGGCCGCGCTCACCTCGGGGCTCCCCCTCCACCTTCCCGCGGCTCCCGGCGCGATGCGCGGCCGAACCCAGCTCGGGCGGTGCGTGCCCCGCTGGGATGCGGAGCAGAGCGGTGAGGAGGGGGCGGGAGCGGTGGGAAGGCGGTTTGCAGCGGTGCGGACCCGGAGCAGGTACTCGGGAGCTTCGGGATGGTGTGCGCTGGGAGCCCGAATCCCTGCGGGAGACTCCGCACGGGCTGCGTTGAACTTGGCTGCGGCATCCAAGGCGGAATGGCTTTCGAGTGAAAGCAGATTGATTTAAATTAGGTATCAGGAGTAAATTCTTTACTGTCGGGGAGGTGAGGCACTGGCAGAAGTTGCCCAGAGAAGTGGTGGATGCCCCACCCCTGGAAGTCCTCACGACCAGGTTGGACGGGGCTCTAAACAACCTGGTCTAGCGGCAGGTGTCCCTGCCCATGGCAGAGGGATGGGAACTGGATGATCTTTAAAGTCCCTTCCAACCCAGACCATTCTGCGATTCAATGATCCCACACCAATGTCATTTGACGCTTATATAACAGGTAGCTCTCCAAAGTTACTGCTTTGTTCATTTTTTTCCCCCACCTCTCCTAGATTATTTTGCTTCTCTTTAAAATACTGTAGTCCTTTACTGCTTGAGTTTGGAGTTTAATGAAGTTTCTTAAAAAGAAAATATATGATAGCTTTATGCAGCTGAAAGAAATCATACAAATGAGAACTGAGTTTAAGCAGGGATTGTGCTTTACATCAACTTCTGCCTTAGGCTTTCAAGTTTCGCCCTTACACTGGTTTGCTCTTTGTTTAGCTAGTTAGAGTGTCTCCTTTGTAGAAAAGGAAGACTCTTTTTTCTGTGAAAATGCATAATTACTGTAAAGAAACGGCTGCATTTATTCTTGCAGTAAAACTAAATTATTTGGTTACGTGTCATTCCTGAACAGATGGAAGTCTGAATACTGTGAGAATATAAAACAATGCCAAAAACTGCGAACACATAGCAGTAAGCAAGGACAGAAGAAGACTTTCTGTAGATGATCGACTCTATTGACTAGTAACTGGTGCCTTTAACAGCAGGGACTGTTCCATCCTCCTTAAACTTCTGAGAAGTTGTCAGCTAGGTGATGTAGTTTCTGTCCTCTTAAGAACATGGTAGTGTGCATTCAGATTCAGTGGTTTGGTCTGTCATTGTTTGTGTTGAAAATGTTTGTCATTGCTTTGGTGTCCTTAATGGCTTTTTTAAGTTATAAATTACTCGTGTGTGCCAGCAGGAAATCCTTTTAGAGGAAACTTTGGAATTTTATTCCAAGTCATCATTGTGCCTTAAGTATCTTCTAGGAGTTAAAGCACTGTGAACGGCTCCTTTTCCAGGCAGTTCTGAGAGATGTTTTTTTTCCTTTTTTCCCCCTTCTAACAGGGAAAGAGAAAGTAGGTTTTGGTAAGAATTGGGGTATGGTTATGAATTTCGTGTTACAAGCTGTTAAACGAGTGTTCCACTGACCCCTGTGTGAGGTGACAGCTCTGGCTGAAGGCCAGTGAAGCTCTAATACCCCTTATAAAACGGGCTTGCTTTAAATAGATTAGCATAGAGGCCAAGTGAAGGTAATCAGGAAGCTTGTTCTGATTTCTTTGTGTTTGGGGAGGTGTTTTTTTTTTTTTTTGTTCTTTGAATACCTTAACGTTGCCATGGTAACTGTGGTGCCCGATTGATCGGAGCTCAGCTTCTTGACCGTAAGAACAGCATATAAAATCTTCACACCTGACATTGGTTGTTCCTCCAAAGCATCACCTTCCAGCTGTGGAATGTGACTGGAGTCTTGGCTTAGTTGGGCTCACCAGCATCTCCTGGCTTGTTTTCTCCAGGGTTGGAGATGCAAATCAATGCCAACTGAGCCCCTTTGCTGGTCCCAGGATACATCCCTGGTGAGGGAGGCACAGCTGAACCTTCGGTGCAAATGTGCATATCTTGGGCTGCTTGAGCTGGCCAGTCCTGCTTTAGAGGAATAAAACTGAATAGTCCCTTTGGATGTTAAAAGCTTCCAAAAATAGTTACAAAGTCTCAGCTAAATTTAATACGGCTAGAATGTCAATGGAAAGGATTAGAACATTTGGGATTTGCACCAGTTAGCATTTAGGAAAAAAAAAAAAAAATCAAAATCCTCTTCCTCATATCTGCCACTTTTGTAAGAGGAAAATTGGAGATTGACACTGTTTTTGTGTGGTGCCACCCAAATTGGAGCTAAAATGTGAGTGGACACCTGTACTGGTGATCTTGATTCCTGGAAGGGGGATAATCATTGCCCAGGTGGGAGACCAGGGGTGAAGGCTGAGGAGGGAAGGGGAGGGGGTGACTTTAGTCCATATTGCTTTTGAGACTGCAAAGGTTCGTTAATCCTGTCATGTGAGGTCCTGCTCTGCTCTTTCTAATTAAGTAAAAAGCCTCCATTTAAGTCCGTGGGAGCTTTCCACAGTAAAGAATTAGCACCATTAAAAATAATGCTCATCTCCAGTGCTCATTGTGCAGAGTGGAATGGAATTTCAGTAGGTTACTGTGTGACCTTCCCTGTTACACTCACTTCTCCTTACAAAGTCTTCAGCGTGGGCCCAGCTGACTTCAGGAGGAGTTGCATCCCTAGGCTGACATTACCAAAACTGGTGACTGCTGTTGTGAAGTCAGTGAATATTTTAAGTAAAACCTGGTTGTTTCAGTAAAGTTTTACTCACTGGGTTTGATTTCCCTCTTCCCCCACTCCCCCTCACCTTTGAATTATGGTAAAACTTGCTTTTTGGGGGTTGTTTTTTTTTTTTTTTTTCCCAGTAGGAGCCAAGATGGAATCCCTACACTTCTCTCTCTCTCCTGGACTCTTCTAGAAGAGTAACTGCAACTTCTCTTGCTTTGGGTTTTTTTTTTTTCCCCCAAATTTTCCTAATTCCTGCAGATTACGGTTTCCAGGTTTGCACTCAGGACTCAATAATACTTGTAGTTTATAGTGATTATATTTAAAGCTTCTATTTGTAACGTTTTGTTTGCTTTATTCTATTTTTAGTCATGTTGTTTGTCATGGCAAGCAGTGTTTAATAAAAAAAAAAAAAAGTAAAGTTTCCTAGTGATTTCAAGAGATATGTGCCTGTTTCTTGATGTCCCTCAGGGATTCTTTTTAAAAACTCTTAAGACAGGAAAATGTTCACCAAGGAAATGCCTTATTAGTTTCCATGAAAACAGTGGATAAATCTGTATGTGCTTGGTGGTATATAAGGCATTGGTCCATTCAAACACTTCATGTACTCATTTTGTTGAATGAAGACAATTTTTTTGCTGAAGAGTTTGGCTCTGCAGGCATCTAACTTCATGGGAAGATGCACATCTATGCCCTTTCAGTTTTACACTAAATAAGTGTCATTTTTCAAATAGAAACTTCAGTGAGCTATTGCTGTTTGCCAGTGAATATAATTTTCTGCTGGTCTCTGCTAATTTTAATTAGAGGTGTGCTGTGTCTAAAAATAGTGAGGTAACAGCATGAACACAGAGCTCCCACTTGGAGTCTCCACAGATCATTTGGACACAGTATCTGCAGTGTTGAACTGACACAACCTGATCTGTTCCAGGGGGAAGGGTGTTTGCCTCACGTTTTGAGCTCTCCCAGCAAGGAACCCTGGCACACCTGGACCACAGGAGGAGAAATTTGAAGTAACTTACATCAGTGTAAAGTGATGTGTAGGATCTGGAGGGGAAGGGGCTGCTCTGGTTTTGCAGGGGTTGATAGTGCTGCTCTCTTGGGGTTCTCTGTTCTGTGGGATGTATTTTCTGACTTGAAACTTCAGGGTCAAAACCTTACACCAGATTCAGAAATAACACAAAAAACACTTGGTGAACTTTACTTAAAGGGAATAAATGGATGTGGCAAGTGATAGCATTAGCTGGAGGTACATGAACATGGGCTCAGGCTTGATTATGCCTCAGTATCTCAAACTTCTTAAGGGATCCTGCTACAGAGTTTTACTGGTGTGGTCCGAGTTCAGATCTTGGATAATTTAGCATCAATATTGGTGCTGGATGATGCCTTGTTGTTACTGCGTTATTTTTTCATGATGTTGCGACTCCTTTTTGAAATTCTGTATGACAGCTTCTGATATATTAAGTATTTGAAAAATTTCCTGATTTGGGAAGGGAGAAGCAAATGCACAATTCAGTTTGAATTCACGGCATTTTAAAAGTAAAATAAGTATGGTTTACTCTTATGTGGATGTCTTTTTTTTTTTTTTTTAATAGTATAAAAGGGACCCTCAGCGGAGGAAGTTAACTTACTTTGTTAGAAGCTGTGGAAATATATGTAAACATAAATGTGATCCAGTGATTGTATCACAGTTACATAAAAGATTACTTTTAATTTGGCTTATTTTATATGGAAATCCAATTCATGGATTATACATGATTTAGGATTAATTGTTTTAAGGGTTTTGAAATGTAAATTCTTTTGTTCTAAATTAGTAGAACAATTGGAAAGAAAATATTTTTTTGCCAGGGGACTGCCTGGAGTGGCTAAGTAACTTCAAAGAAGCCACTAAACACTGCTCACAACAGAACACCTGAACCTTAAGGTGATTAACAGACATAATAAAGGATACACAGTTATGATTTTTATATATATAGATATAATTTTGTGTGTGTGACATTATTAATGTGTAACGTTACTTATAATGTGGAAAAAGGTAAGATTTCTGTCTCACGACTGGCTGAGGATAACTTCTGACATGGTGATTTGCCAAGTCCATGCAGTGCTGTGGAAACTCAGACTGGTGTTGGAAGTGAGCAGCCCAAGGTGTGTGACAGATGATGTTGCATTTCTGCCAAAACGGCAGAAGTGTTAGTTGGTCCAGTCAGAGTCTGAATTTACAGCCCTAGGGTTTAAAGTGTGCTAACAAATGTTGTTGATTCAGGTTATGTTTGTCCCCTATGATTATCATTGAGCTCAGGCTCATAGGCAGTTTATTCCTCTTGGGGAACATAAATGTATTTTATTAGTGAGATTTCCCTCACTAGTGGTGCTGGGATTAATATCGTGCAGTACATGGCCCTTGTATAAGACAAAGTAGAATTTCTGAAACGATTGTTATTTCGTACAGATGTTCTTAACTGTGCAGGTCTCATCCTAAATTGGGCAGAGGATATAATAATCAGTTGATTATTATATAAGTTGACTTGCCAGTGGAGGGAACACCGATCAGAATTCTGGGTGTATCTGAAGTGTAGAAAAAGCATGTGCAGGTATACACACTTACCTACAGGTGGAAAAGAGATGGTTAAAACGTATGACAGTGACTTTCTTAAAAAGACTTGGCCTATACCAAAGCCCCACTGGGCAAATCTGTCTCAATAATTGGCTGAAAAAAGAAACAAGCTTTTCCCGTTCAAAGCTCTGGCAGAGCAAAACTACTGACATAATATGATGTAAGTATTTACTAACTTCTAATCTTGGCTGTTGTAGTGTATGCTCATTTGGTTACTGGGTAAAAACCTGAGCTTGATGATTGTAAGTTAAAAATCCTGTCCTGTTTTTTTGCTTGTCATAGTGGTTTTGCTGAATTCCTAACTTGGAAGCTTTCCTATCTAGTACCTTCCAGGAGAAGAAAAATATGGCTCTTCCAGGAGGAAAAAATAAACAACTCTTTAGTGAGGAAACCTATAGACTTTTCTGACATTCTTTACTTCTCTGCACACCCTAATAGCTTTGTTGTGCATTGGGAAAGGAGGTATGAAACCTGATAGCTGCCATGAAGTTAGTTTTAACATTCATAATCCAAATTCCTACAAGTTTTGAGTATCAGCCTGTGTGACTATCAAATAGTCAGTATCTTCCCTGACTGCAAGTCGTTTGCCTGTTGTGAATGAAATACTTCATACAGACTGACAGAAGCCTGCTCTGCTGTGTGAATTATGTTTTGTAACACACTGGGCTTGAGGTTTATTTTCATAAACCTATTGACACAAGCTAGACGTGATGACAAACACACTTAGAGATGATTGTTCTTGGAGGAGATGATCTGTTATTGCTTTTTGGTAGAGAAAGTATTACATTCTGAAGTGAAATTTCTGGCTGCTGTGAGGGTTTCTTCACAGTACTTGCCTGGATATGTATGCCCTGAAATGTACAGTAGTACTAGGCTTAAGTGAGTTGGTTCAAATACCAGAGGCAATGTTGTGTCAGACTGAGCCATCTCCTCTGTCATTTGTTTGGGCTTGTTTTTTTTTTTCAGTTAGAATTAAGTTCCTAGGCTGAGATTAGTTGGAGATGTGCTAATATCGGACTGAGCTGGTTAAAAAAAAAGAGTGTGTGTTTGATAGCTGAAAAACCTGTCCTCAGGTTAACACTGTAAAAAGAGGTGACAGTCCTGAGGCTTTCGTACTACACTTGTTTCCTCACAGCACTGCATCCTTGTTTGGTTTAACCCCCTCCTTCATAATTTACATGCATTGAGTCCAGAACTGGAAAACTATTTGGATTTTAGCTGTGTAACATACTTTACTACCTGGATAAGGAGGACAGCTAAGATCCTGTGACCTACCAGCTCTCTGCGCATCACTGTGTGCGCTGTGAGTGGTGTTGCTGTCCAGCATCGACGTCTGGACGAGTCCTGAGTTACCCTGGTGTGACCTTGTGGCTTGTGCTGGATGACCTTTGCAGATGTCATCCCCCTTCCAGCCTTAGTGATTTTGACTAATGCTGGCTAATAAATCTGTCTCTCACGTGATTTGGGAGCGTGGTAAGTGTGGACTCATCTTCAAACTGATACTTTTAAGCATAACTTCAACTTGGTTTCTTGAGAACATCTCTCATTAGCTCTGAGACTTCAGCAATAACAATTACTGATATTTCCATAACCTTATGTTATGGAACGATGTGCTCTGTCATCAGCCAAATATAATTTCAGAGCAGCAGCAGAGCAGGGGTTATGTGAAAGACACAGGCATAGCAAATTAGCTCCATAATTTAGCTTTACTTTGCTGAGATTAAGTGTAATAAGCCCATAGGGTTTAATTTTGGACACTAGTTCTATATAGTGTGTTTGAGTTAATATTTACAGCTATTTATAGAGAATAGCAAGTATGCAAGAGAGCAAGGGCAAATCTGAAACAGATGAGCACTCTGCCTTTATGTAACTCTCTAACTCCTTGTGTTATGAGGAAAAAAAAGCAGCTAATGATTGCACATTGTTATTGAAAGAAACAAATATAGGGGAATTAATTATTATCCAGTAAGCTTCTAGTCAGCTTAACGGAGCTCTATAGTGCAATTTGATGTCAAATATACTAGTACTAAGGACTGCTAAATATCTCATTTTATACTAATTACACACTGATAATTAATTGGACCTTGACTTATTCCCCTTGGCTGGTATGTTACTTCTGTGTGTCTTAAAATTACCTTTCTATTCTGATGCATTTGGGGTAAAGGTTCCAAAAAGTCAGAAAAACTTTCCTAAAAGTGCTGAGAATCATCTTAAGCCTGTGATTCCCTTAACTTTATTTGCTTCCTAATCTGATTAAGATGGGCACGGGCTAATGAGCATGCAAAAACGAAGTATGTTCTGTACTGAAACTGTAGAAAATATTGGCTTTATTCTTTTTAATCGAAACATGTCTTAGTTATATTGCTTTTCAATGATTCTGTTTTCATGCTGCTTTCCAACAGGGTCTTTTTTTTTTTTTTTTCTTTTTTTTCCTGTGAGTTGATGCCTGGTAAAATTTTCGAAGTTATTTTCATTTTCTTCTTACTCTGTGCAATGTGCTCCCAAAGCTGGCTGCGAGCTCAAAAGCACCAGCCTGCCTTACCAGTAACAAACATGTCACTCTTAAACCCAAATACAACGTGGTATTTTCTTTGAAGGTAAAGTCTCGCCTCTGGTTGTGTCCAGCAGCTTGTGCTGATGTGTTTATGTCTTTCCTGTGCTAAAAAATGAAGCTAAAGCCAAGTCCCTTGGTGAGTGAGACTGGTCCTCGGTGTCCTGTGTCAGAGGTCAGTTGTTGCCTTAAAATAGCGTGAAATTTACTTTCTACACAAACTAAGCCCCCAAACTGAGAATCTCTGGGTTAACTTGTGGATGTGGAATGTCTAAAAACGTAGTGTAACTGTGTGTCACTTCTCCATGCTGCCAGGGATGAGGGGAGACTCCTACTTCTTTGGAATGCGGGGCCTGGGCCACTATGGCTGCATCCCGGAGGATGGAGGACATTTCTTACTCTACTCTATAAATGGAGACAACAGCTTAAAGAGATGTTTTGCAGAGGAAGATTTTCATGAAATAATTGATTTCAACGATCTCCCAAATTCTCTCTTTGCCTGCAACGTTCACCAGTCCGTGTTTGAAGACGAGGACAGTAAGGTACTGTGCCAATTTCCATGTTTTCTGTGCAAGACAAATCTATGCTCTATATTTGTTTATTGCAGTCAGTGAAACAGTTTAATGGGTCTCGTGCAAAGAAACTTGATCACAAATTTGACTTCTTTCTAAGGTGACGACGCCACTCTGCCATGATGTTTACTTCAAGAGCTTAAAAGCCTTTTTGTCACCTGAGGTCAACAAAAATGTTTTTCTTCTGCTCAGATTGGCAGAATATGGAAATGCAGGTTCATGTCTTCATGGCAACTGCAGCTGCAGTGATGGTGGTGATGGCAGAGTTAAACATGTGATGGCTGCTCCCCCTTGCTGATTGTGTACCATTATGGAGGGAGGCTGCCTTTCTGTATTTATTATAGAATCAGAAAATTGTTTGGGTTGGAAAAGACCTCTAAGATCATTGAGTCCAACCATTCCCCCAGCACTGCCAAGTCCACCACTAAACCACGTCCCCAAATGCCACATCCATACATCTTTTAAATACCCTCAGGGATGGTGACTCAGCCTCTTCTCAGGACAGCCTGTTCCAATGCCTGGTGACCCTTTCAGTGAAGAAATCTTTCCTAATATCCAATCTAAACCTCCCCTGGCATGCCTTGAGACCACTTCCTCATGTCTTATCAATTGCTAATTTGGAAAAGAGACCAGCACTCACCTCACTACAACCTCCTTCACATAGTTGTAAAGAGACAGATAAGGTCTGAAGTATTTTAAGTTATCTGTAATATTGTGTTCTCACTATCACTCATTTTAGATTTTCCAGATAAAAAAGACAAGAGAAACTTTATGAAAATATTTTTAACTTTGCAATTAATCTCAAACAGAATGTTGAGAACAACGTGCTCTTAAAATAATAATTAAAAAAAAACCAAAACAATGTTTGTAGGAAGCATTCAGTTCCTGTTTCTTAGTCTAGTGTTCTTCCTGACTGAGACTTCAGGAATATAAAACTAATAGCCTGGGGCTTTGTTGTCTGCTGAAATGAGTCTGGGCTAATTGTTATGGGCACATCTGAGGCTACATGAGTATCCTGTTATGAATTTTCAATTCAGAAACAAGCTGGCAGTGGTACAGTGGGTTTTGCCTGGAACTGTCTGACATACCCAGATAAAACTACAAATTCACTGGGACCAGAGCTTGCCAGGATGGACAAGCTCTTTAGTGATGAAATTGCCAGATGAAAGAGAAATAAAACAAAACTCCTGAGGATACAGGCTTCCTGATAAAGGTACCAAAAGTGGTGTCTGTTGAGGTTCCACAAGTGGAATTGTTTGGGTTTAATTTTTTTTGTGCATCTTTGTCTTCCATAATGATGTCTTGTGTATGACTGAGTAATACAGATGAAAAGAATGCAAAGGTTCATACCATAGCACTAAACATTATATTCATATTTATAGATATAAAAATCCTACACTCTAAATTGCAATTTTGGAAAACAGTACCCTATTGTATGTAAGACTTTCTGCTAATAAGCATCTTGAATTATGTTCTGCCATTTTGCAGAATTTTCTGACCATCTGGTAACGAGCTGAAGGGGTCTGAAAGCCCAGTTTTAAAGGAGGAAAACAGGAGCCTGCCTAGAACTAGAGAATCTCTCTTCATCTTACAGAGATTCTATCCCCACTTGCTCCCGAGCTTTCCCTTCTGAGAGCTGCATTCTGGTATTTAGCTGATGGCTTAGTTAGGAAATGGAATGGGTGATTATGTAAGTATGTGGGATAGCAATCCCCAAAGACTTGCAGGACTTAAGGATGTGTCTTAAGAATAGCAGCTGGGTTGTGGAGGTGGATATTCTGAGCCACGTGCAGGTCTGTAAACTGTGTGTCGATGCCATGGATTGAACAGCTCTGTTTGCTGGTAAGTAGTTACTCCTCTAAGTCTATATTTATGGAGATGGGATTACCTTCAGATTTCTCATTAAATCCAACAACCTGGGGAGTTGATTATGGTTTTATTATTCCTGTAAAACATGTACTTGTGTTCCCAGCTGATTAATACCCATAATCCTTTCTATTAATAACTGTTGCTGCAAGATAAGAGCACACATGAATTCAGTATAAAATATTGTCAAGTTACTAAGCTAAACTTCAAAATTTCACATTGTCACAATAAATGCTGCTAACAATCGTATCTTCAATTATATATTGATCCAAAGTATATGAAAAGGTACACTAAACTTTTCAAAATAATCTACTACAGTAATGTTTACACCTACAGTCGTTTCATTGTGTTATTCATTCTACAGAAAGTAAAGTTTTTTGTAAGGTATCCTGGCCTGCACTTTTCAGAAGAAAATGAAAGTATAATTGGTTTGGAAGTTACAACTTACCTATTCAATAAAGCTGGAGAAACCCGTCATTAAAAATGGTTAATTTGGCGTGTGAACATCCTACATAAACAATATGCAAATATATAGAGTTCTGAGTGGCTTTAACGTGCAGCAGTCTTAATGTAGAGAATTTACACTCAGTTTTTAACTTACATCACCTTACAACTTACAACACCTGAAGTGTTTAAGAAGGTAAACTGTCGAGTTCAAACTTCTAACACAAATTTCTAAGCAATACACTCAATAAATATAGGTTTTAAAAGCAAAGGGCTTAAGTATTTTTTGTTTTAATTTGAAGGCGTGTAACTCCTTTCTATCAGACACAGAGTAAATTCCGGTTTGTGCTGGAGTACGGACTTGCAGCAACCCAGGGGGAACACTTGGCTGCCCCTACACCTGTGCTGTGGATAAGCAGATTTACTTTGCCCGTTCTTACCGAGTCCTGTGTCAGAAATACCCTTTCACCGGTATTGTGAGTCTACAATCCCTCTTAGAAGGGATTCTGTGCTGCCTGTCAAAAGCAATGATGACACCTGTAGGGAGCCTGAGTTTGGACCACCGTTTTCCGAAGATGAGGAATTCTTGCAGCTGAAGTGCAGGCAAAGACACTGGGTCAGGCCAGGTTTGTTTTTAATCCTGGCTGGCACCCTGAGGTCTCACCATAGCGAGTCTGAAGAGTTGTGGAGCCTGGGATCTGGAGATGAACGTTTCCATCAGGCTCCAAGGAAGCTGCTTGGATTTCACTGCCTTTAAACGCTGAAGAAAGGGGGAATATAGATTAATATAGATTAATACTACCCACATGTATCTGATTGTGTTACAGTAACAACATATAGTCAAAAATTATTTCCCTACCTTCCAAGCCTGTGTTCTTGGAAAGAAATTTGTACTTAGATAGGAGAATGCCCCAGATAACTGGGTCGATAATGTGGGCATTTAAGGATTTGTGCAGGATGGCTTAGCAGCTTCACTGCGATAACAGCTTGCTACTACTGAGGGGAGGTGGCTTTGCTTATCTCCACTCCCATCATGGACAGCCTGCTTCTTTCTACAGAAAATGAAATTGTACCTTCTTTACAATGTGTTAGAAAATATGGGGATTTTTAGTTTTTAAAAAAACCAGCGAAGGTGTGGAGAAGATTATCTAACAGGATAATCTGTTGCAAATCTGGGATCACATTTGGCTGCGCCCCTGTCACTGCCCTGCGTTCTGATCATTTGTTTTGGCATAAATCTGTTAATGGTAGGGCCAGATTACTTTGGGTTTTGGAGTATACAGCACTGACCTGGTTGGGTCATGGAAGTCTTGTTGTAAAGAGGCTAAAAATCAAATGACTTCTAAACCCTGCGATTTGTCGCATCTCTTGGAAAAACTGATGGGACTGCTTATTCGGGCAAGATAAGCAAAACTGAGACTTATTTTTGGCTGATAGTGTGACCGAATGGGAGGTGCTGCTCCTTTTAGCTTTCCTGATAAAGCAATTGTGTTGTTGAGCCAAAGGGCATGACTCTTAATAACTCCTGAGGGTGTGTTTCAGCAGTTAATTGCTACACATAGCCCTTAAACTTTCTGCATAGTAACCCTTTTGTTGTGCTTTTGTTGTGCACATGTCACTGTTTTGTAAAACCATCCTTTCTGTTCTGCGACTTGAGCTTCCTTCAGGCTTAGAGTGGTAAACACACTGTCAAAGTGAAGCATCTTTGTCTCTTAAGATAGTTTCTTCGGATGCCGTAGTGCCTCGGGAGGTGCTTAAGCAAAGCTGTCATTATTAGAATATGCTTACGTGAGGGAAGGATGTGTTTCCTCAAGCTGTTTACGGGCTGTATGCTCCCTTTTTATTCCATTCTTTTGGCTCAAAGTGGAAGGAGCACCGGTTAAACTTAATAGTTTTATTTCACATAAAGAATGATTCATCAGTTTCTGAGCATTTTAGTTATGGTGAAGCTACCTAGGCAATGATAGCCAGAGTCCATTAAGTGCCTTTTCTTGCCACTGTAATTTAAACCAATTAAAGGAGATATTACTGTTATTTCTGCATCAAAAAATACACAGTGATCAAATGCATGTCCAGTTCTGGATTTCCCAGTCCAAGGAAGACATGGACTTACTGGGGAGAGGCCACTGAGATGATGGGACTGGACCTGTCTGCTGTGAAGAAAGCCCAGGAGAGCGGTGCCTGTTGGGCTGGAGCAGGGAAGGCTCAAGTGGATCTCACCAGTGAGTACCACGACCTGAAGACAGGGTGCAAAGGAGGCTGATCCAGGCTCTTCTCAGTTGTGTCAAGTCCCAGGACCAGAGGCCACGGGCATCAGCGAAAAGACAGGAGGTTCTGTTCCCACTGAATGTCAGGAAACACTTTTTTGCCATGACAGTCACTGAGCGCTGGCACAGGGTGCCCAGGGAGGTGGTACAGTCTCTGTCTCTCTCCACGGAGATACTCCAAAGCTGTCTGGACATGGTCCTTAAGCATCTGGACTCTAACAGGGGGAGGTACTGGGCAAGATGATCTCCAGAGGTCCTTTCCAACCTCCACCAGCCTGATTCACTGAGCATTTGTTGAAGTGTATCCTAATTCTTCTGATGAAGAGAGTCTGTGTGTGAAGGCAAGATTGGGGAATGGAGGTGATTAAAAATGCATTTCCTGAACCGTGAACT